ATAAACTACTTCCTCGTCACCATTAGGAATTCCCATGGTTGCACAAATCATAGAATTTAGACATATATGCATATGGATCCTCATGGTCCAATCCTACAAATCTAGTTCGCACTAACTTAAATGCATAAAACTTGTTTCACTTCCATTGCCTTTGAAGTTTTTGGAGTTGTTATGTTGGAAAAATGTCGAGGACCTTGTGAAGCATAATCTCTTAAAGTTTTTTGATTTCCTCCTTGATCAACCATGGTTGGTTTAGAATCTAATCGAGTAAATGTAGAAGAAAGGTTTAATACATCCTCTTATTACTTTTTGTCTTTCCTGATGGTTCCTTCTCCTTGTTTTGCTTTTGTTTCTCATGGTTGTTCTTTCTATCTTTGGGTCATTTACCAAATCTTCAGCTGGAGTCTTACCCTGCATAAACAAGAATTGAAAAACTAGAATCGACTGTTAGCAATGGATAATAAATACTATAGAAAAAATAAATATACAAAAAAGTAAAACTTAATGAATAACAAATGTGAGATTGATAGATATCTGGAAACAAGTCCACAACAACAATGCCAAAAACTTGTTGATCCTTTGGTAAGTCTACCAATATCAACTTATGATTAGTAATGAGTGTGATTTATCTCCATAAGGACTTGATAGATATTGATTAAATTTTATACTTAAGTTAATTAAGTAAAGAATTGATATCCATAATTCTATTAACATAAAACACAAATTTTGTTTTGTAATTTAGAATTCAAACTCTAAGATAAGACACAAACACGTATTAAAACTGAATTTAATTCAATTGATTGAGACTGTTAGGACCAAGCTTCACCAATTAAAATTCAATATACTTTTTAATCTAACATACATGCTTTGATCATATTTTTTTCCATCAACACAATTGACATAGATATCTAAACATCAATTCCTCGATATTTAGTCCTAAGCAACTTCTTAAATCATCAATCCCTTGAATGACTCACGAATGAGCGTGCATTAAGTTTGACAATTTACACGTATGATGAATTAAATGCTATTCCTAACAACCCAATTCATTAGTAATTCAATTCAATTCTTGATTCAACGATCATTTTCCAATCAATCCAAGATCATAAATTATGACACAAGCATCCAAGATGAGACAAACATTAATAGTAGAAAAAAATCACTAATGGAATTAAATAGAGATAAATATATATGTATTGATCAGAAGAAATACACGAAGTTGATTGATTATATTTGATCCTAACAAATAGGAAGTTAGCTACTCATACTAAGGATTGCCAACTCAAGATTACAAAATGATTCAATCACTTTATTGAACTTCTCTTCTTCAAGACCAAGAACAATAGGTGCAAACTCCCTCCTTGCACCAAGCTTCATCTCCAAAGAGAAAGAAAGAGAGTCCTAGAGTAGAGAGAGAATGAATTCTTCCCAATCTGAATCTTTTTCCCTTTTTAAAAAGGGGAAAATTCTATGTTTTCTTCAAAAATTACTTAGCCAAATAAATTCCCTCGGTGAATTTAAGGTTTCTTCATCTTGAGGTAACAAATTCGCTTAACCAAAATAATTTCACCTAACCAAATTATGCTCAATTTGGATTTTGGAACTTGTTACCTCAATTTGGTTGGGTTACAAAAACTTGGCCTAGTCAATTTTTCACCTTTTTGCATCTCCCTCGTATTGTGCCTTCAAAATGTGATCTTATATTGAATTCTTCTCCCAAGTCTTGGTTTTTTTCACTTGATATAGGTTGTAACTGGCACAAAAAATATAATGAGATTAATTAGCTAAATATTTATAAACATAAAAACTAATTTATTAATTATATTACTTACAAAAGTTAACCAATTTTGAGGTTTAAACAAAGAAAAAGGCTTGAAATCAACTTAGAGGTCTTTTAAATAACCAATTCAAGTAATTTTGACATATAACATTTAATGTAGACACAATTCAACCACATTCTTATGTTTACTTAGTTACTTCTAGGGGTTGAACATTTTACAATACAAAGCACAATATCCTATCATCACTATGGAGAATGAAGGGCAGTTTGCAACCATGCCACTTTTTTCCATAGGTCAAAACTATGACTATTGAAAGAACAAAATGTTAGCATTTTTTTCACACATGTCACATACATATGTGAGACATAGTCGAGAATGGCAACTAGATGACCTTTGATGAAAACAATAACAAAGTTCCAAGAGCTATTTTGAATAAAGTACAAAAATTAAGGTATCTTTTAATCACTAATCTCTAAATTCCATGATGTGTGTTTTATCTAAAAGTGCATAAAAGAAAGCACACAACATGAAAAGTGTTAAGCAAATGTGAGATATCCTAGCTCTTGCTATCAGGGAACCTTATAGTTAATAAGTCAAAGATAAACATATTGGTAAGATACTATAAGTTGTTTAGGATGGAGGACCATGAAAACATCAAATAGATGTTTTGATAGTTCTAAACCATCATTAACAACCTTCAATTTCTTGCAGAACTTACATTATCGATGATAATATTGACAAAAAAACTTTGTAGTTTGCTAAAATAGTGGATACCACAAGTAACTAATGTTTATTTTATTTTGAATAATAAAATATAATTTTTATTGTTAAATTTTAACATAAAACTTGAAGAAACTTTGGAATAGTAGTGTTTTGGAGGTCATTTGACCTAATCTCAAATAGAATAATTCTATGTTTTAATTATCTTTGTAATGGTACTTTGACCTACTCAGACAAAACTACATCTAGTATGGGTTAATCTACAATAAATCCTAGTTAAAATTAGGCTAATTATTTATAAGTACACACAAGACACTTGAAACTCGACACATTTCTTGCCCACCAACACTATCCAGTAGCATAACAAACATAACAAGTTTAATATTATGTAAATTTTATTTGATAAATTCAATATCAACATTAAGTAGAAAAAATGAAATAAATTTTGTTCAAAAAGTAAAAAAAAAATAATTTTAAATTTTTTTATAACCAAATTATTAATACGAAGTATCTGTTACCTTTACTCTTGACCGACTAAGTCAATAAATCTACCGACGGAGCCTTTTTTTTTCAACAAAATTTTAGATTTATTTAATGAGCTAAAAACACTTATTTAAACATTAAATGTTATTGTTGGGATGCAAGCAAAGTCCCACATCGTTCAAACAAGAGGATGAACATGGGTTTATTGTCTCCATTGGTCGAGAGGCCTTTTGGGTGATGTCTAAAAGCAAATCTGTGAGGGCTTAGGCCCAAAGCGGACAATATCTCACCAATGTGGAGACATGTGTATATGTGTGGTAACCCCTCAGACCACAACAAGTGGTATCAGAGCCGATGGTCTAATTAGGTGACTGGCTCGACGAGTATGATGGCTGGCAGGTGGATCCAAGTTTGGGATCTCTTGTGTCAAAAGTCTTCCTAACGATGGTTCCATGTGGAAGAGAGACTTCCTAGTAACATGGAGGGTTAGGAGGTGTGTCCCGCTGTCATGAGGAAGGTCATGATGGAGCGGTGAAGCTTCCTAGTAGCATGGAGGGTTAGGAGGCGTGTCCCACTATCATGAGGAAGGTCATGATGGAGCGACGGTGCAAGCACTCTGAGCATGAGTGAGCTTTGTGGGGCTAGGAAGAGAGGCTTCCTAGTAACATGGAGGGTTATGAGGCGTGTCCCGCTGTCATGAGGAAGGTCATGATGGAGTAGCAAGCAACACTCTGAGCGTGAGTGAGCTCTATGGGGCCACCATCGGATAATACTCGTAGTTTTCGCTGTAGGGGAGGGTCAAACCGTGGTCCTTTGTTTGAGAGGATGATTGTTGGGATGCAAGCAAAGTCCCACATCGTTCAAACAAGAGGATGAACATGGGTTTATTGTCTCCATTGGTCGAGAGGCCTTTTGGGTGATGTTCAAAAGCAAATCCGTGAGGGTTTAGGCCCAAAGCGGACAATATCTCACCAATGTGGAGACATGTGTATATGTGTGGTAACCCCCTCAGACCACAACAATTATTAGTTCTAATTTAATTTGAACCTAGCTGCCAACCAATCCAATCCATGAAAGTACTCAATAATTCTTGATCCATTATGTTTGTAACATATAGTATAAATACGTTCTAAATGTTACATTAGGGCATCTCCAATGGGAGCAACTCATTTGAGTTGCTTCATGCATTGAAAAATGAAAAAAGTGGTCTCTAGTGTGTCATGTCAGCATTAAGAAACTCAAACACAAATTTACTCCAATGATAAGAAACTTTAAGAAATTCAACTTTTAGAACTTTTTTCTAATCACTTATGAACCAAATTTAAATTTTTATTAAAAAGGATAATTACACTACAATAAAAGAAAATAAATTACGAGAAAAAATACACAATAAGTAGATATTAAAAATAAAATAAACCAATAATAAATACATAAACATTATACAAAATTAATTTTCATCATTATTATTTCTAAAATATTCTCAAATATGTTCAATAAGATCTACTTGAAATCTGGTAAGGAACGGTTGCTTGAGGAATCAACTCTCTCTCTTCTTCAAGCAACTCATGTTGCCACGTCAGAGTCCTCCAATGACAAGAAACCGGGGCTTGAATTGCTTCATGGGACAAGCAACTCCCATTAAAGTTGCTCTTATAATCTAAAAGTAACAATGATGCAAGAAAAAATGATTGAATGGAATATAATAGTAACTAAAAATATCAAAATATTGTCTTGTTTATTTTTATAGTGCAAATAAAAAACCGAAAAAACAGATAGAGAGATTATTATTGTAATTTTCATATATTTTTGTCTTATTCTCATATAATGTGTACCAATTACCTCTTACATTCTATTTTTTGTTCTTTCGTTAACTCTTTTACAATATCCAATGCATCCAAAGTTTGTCCTTAGTCATTTTCTCTCTCTGTTCTTTTTTTTTTGGCCCAATACTTCATTTTCCCCCTTTTAAAGCCCAAAGACCCCGTACCTTGTTGTGTTGTTTTTTTCGGTTCCCATTTCAATCTTTAGCGCCAAAATCTAACTTTGGTTCCTCTCTGAAACTCAACGCATTTCTCGTTCCTCCAATTCCTCGTTCTGCATTCCAATTCCTGTTAGGTACTGCGTTCTTGAACTCTTCCATTGCTCTCGCTATTCCACGATGTTGTTTGTTCTCTATTGACGGAAAAGAATGTTCTCGAAAATCCGTAATAGCTTAAATTTATTTGCGATATTTGTAGAAAAATTTGAAAAAATAATCTGAATTTTTCTGATGCATTGCATAAAGTCAAGGATTTGCTTCTGCTGGTTATTTTGGTCACAGTTTGCCAATCACATTGTAAAGGAATTTAGTTGGAGTTGTATGTATTTGAAATTCTGATTCTGGGAGTTATCATGTAACTGAACTTGTGAACGAAATTATTCTGCATAAGTAATTATGTTGTTGATGTTGATGTTGATGTGATTGTTTTTGCATGTTCTCTACTTCTAGCCCTAGGTCATGTGATCCCTTTTCTTTTCTTTTGATTTTTTGAAGAGCTTTAGGGTAATGGATGAAAGAATTGGTGATGATGCAAAGGTGGAGATGTATGTTCATTCCATTTTTCACTTTTTTTACTCTCTTTTCACCGCCCTCACTTTTGCTTGTGGAGAGCGAACATTATGAAGTGTTTTTCTTTTGCTCATGGTTCAAGTTTGTGTCTTCCTTGGTTTAACTGCAATTATATAGCTAGGAAATAATAAAACCTTGTTGGAAGTTCAAGGTGCAGATTAGAAGATAGTGATTTATTCAAAATGAAAGTAAAGTGACAAATTAGTTCAATGGGAAGTGAAAACAGCAGTTAGCCTCAGATTCTGTGCGTGTGCGTGGGTTAATGTGTGTCGAACAGAGGAAGGGCTGTGAGTTAGTTTGTGCTATTAATAGTAGTGTTAGGTTTTCAAGTATGTTTCTGAAATTTTACATGCAATCCTTTATTTGTCAGATCTTTGTTACACAAGTAACTGGTAGTGATCTCGAATCATCGTTGAAATGTTTCTGCCTTTTAAGATTTCAAATATTTAATGTTTATTGATAAGCTTCGTACTTTCTTATTGGATAATGTATCAATGTTTATGTAGGAAATTGTTTATGAGGATGCATTCGCATTCTCATTTCTCTTTCTCACTTAAAGTTGTTCTGTTGTTAAATGGCACATTTTCCAAATATAGACTAATCTAAGGGTTTAATATTGACCTACACAAAATCCAAATCTTTCTGTATTCAACTTGTCATTTTTATGTGAGAAACAGATAGCTTTAGTAATAGGAGGATTGCATTGATTGTCATTTAGTAATTAGTATGTTGAGGTAGACTACTCCAGCCGCATGTGTACATATGCTGGCTCCTTTTCCCTACCTTTGAGTAAAGCCTATTCTTATTAGTCCATGAAGAAACCTGATGTATGGTTTTGTCTTGCAGTTATTTCAATTGGACCCTTAGGCATGTATGGTTAATGTCGGACAGCTGAAATGAGATGCAATGCATGCTGGCGAGAAGTAGAAGGGCGAGCCATTTCCACAACTTGTGGTCACCTATTATGTATCCACATACAAACAGTTTTGATCTCGAATTCCTCCTTTAAAAATAAAATATGATCAACGTAGTTCATATTTAATTAGGTTGAATTTTCTTCACGTTTTATCATTGAAGTGATCAGTTTATATTTATGTGGAATCCTTAACACGGTTAAAAGGCACAGATGATGCCAATAAGATATTAAGCAATGATGGAGCATGCCCTATTTGTGATCAGGTTCTTTCAAAGAGGTATGTATGGATATGATAGAGATGTGTTTGATTAAACACGTGATTCATTATACACCTGACATTGTACCAATTATAACGGTCATTTAATGGCACTAATCACCAATCAGCAATCCGTACTTTACAGTAGTTGTGGTGAATCTTTCATTTATTCTAGATTATGTGTTGTCAATTTTAAGCTTCATGGATACAATACTGACTTAAATAGTCATTTGGTAGCAATAATATTCCCTCAACAATTAGTACCTATACTTGTACCGTAATGTGATGCTTTGTCAATTTTATACATTTTTTCCTGTTGTCAGTCTCATGAAACCAGTGGATGTCAATCCCAATGATGAATGGGTCAATGTAAGTAAGCATTCTTCTGTGCTATACTCTCTACATAGTACATACATGATACACCCAAGAGTCTAAGACACTCTGAAATATGATGAATTTCAATCAGATAGTTTTCCTTTTCTTTATTCTTACTAGCTTTGTCGCCAATTATTGTGATGTTTTCTATTGCAGATGGCCATGGCTGGAGTATCTCCACAGATATGTATCCTTTGTGTCCATTGTGTAGAGGTAGAACTGCATAGAAAGGGGAACTAAGGTTATATATTGTATCCATCTACACTATCTGGCTGTCTAATTAACTAAAATGAAGTGCATATTCTTAAATTCAAGAAATCGAGTGGGTACATTGGACCTTGCGTGTTTACCTGAGCATTATTAGTGATGAAGAGTGCATATAGAAGTGTGATGTTCTACATTGGGCAAAAAGAACTGGAGATGCAGTTTAAGATGAACAAGCTTGTTGCCCAATGCCGGCAGAAATGTGAGATGATGCAAGAGAAGTTCACAGAAAAACTGGAGCAGGTTCATACTGCTTATCAAAAGATGGCTAAGAAGTGCCAGATGATGCAACAGGAAATTGAGAGCTTAACCAAGGACAATCAAGAACTTCAGGAAAAATTTGCTGAAAAATCCCGGTCAGTGTCAATCAAATTTTCAGCTTATACAAATTATATCTCGTTATTGATGCTTTAAACACACTTCAATTTCAGGCAGAAGAGAAAATTGGATGAAATGTATGACCAGCTGAGGAACGAGTATGACTCAGTAAAGCGATCTGCCATACAGCCCACAAGCAACTTTTATTCCAGAAACGAGCCTGATCTGTTCTCTAACCCACCTAACATAATGGATGACAGGGAAATTGGCAGAAAAGGTAATCCTTTGCTTTCAAGAGTCAGAGAATACTATATTTTACTGTCAATAGAAAGTGTTTTATGATATATGAAAGCTTCAGTTAACTTTAAAATCTCAGTAAGTCGATCAGTATGGATGAATTGTTATAATTCCTGTAATTCCTTAGTATCGAGTTTAATTCTTACGGATAACAAGAAGTGACAATTATTTAAACAAAATAATGGAAGCATGGATTTTATGACCATATTTCTGCTTAGATGTTTCCAAAAGTAGATTAACTTATTTGTTGCAGGTCGATCGGTATTGACTCCTGCCACTCCAGGGCCAAGAGAGGATGTCTGGCCAGCAAGGCAGAATAGCAATAACTCCGGTCACTTCGATCTCTCGGTCGGCTCGCCGGCAAAACCAACAGTCATTGCTGGGGATGCTGGGAACAGAAGGGCTGGTGCTCATCCTGTTTTTGGACCTGGTGCAACTAATAACCCTTCCATGACTTTGAGGAACTTGATACTGTCTCCAATAAAACGGCCTCAGCTCTCACGTAACCGCCCCCAACTATTCACGTGAGGAATAAACTCAGTCTGCTAATTTTACACATTGTTATACATTTCATGATCTTGATTTATTTTGGTGTTTCAGGTTGTAGGCACAAAGGAGGTTAACCTTCTATAATACCAGTTAAGCTTTCTCGTTTAGTTCTGCTTTAATATCTTTTTTCTCTTCTTTCTTATGGTTTTATTTTATCCCTTGGTTGTTTTCATTTGGCAGGGAAAAACGCATCTAAAGTTTGCACAAATGAATTCGTAGTCCACGTAATGTGCTGTGATATTTTAAACTTCCGTTTCTATTTGTGACCTTCAAAGTCTTATAGATGAAGAGCCGCTAACATGAACAATTTATATATCATTTTCGTTCCCTAGCTTCAATATGTAGATAGAGAATATTGCCAGCGTGTTATATGGTGATCGGAGAAAACTCGAAAATGAATACCCTTAAAACTTATATGAAGTCGCTGTCCCGTTTGGTTTAGTAAAGAATGAAAAGCAGGCGTTTACCTTTCCTTTTTACCCGACGGCACCGATTTCATGGCCTTCTCAACTATTGAAATTGACAACAATTAACATGAACTTTTTGAACTTTTAAAAATGCTATTTGTTCGCATAGTGAGAGGAGTTGTGTAACACCTTTTACAGCTTAATACTAGATTAAAATGATTGCGGAATTAATATATAAAAATGACAATTTTTTAAGGAAAAGTAACAAGTAAATTCAAACACAAATTTTAAAAAAATTCTCAAATGTATAGACTTAGCTTGAGTGACATTGAACTGTTAAGTAAAAGCCTTTGGGGTTAGAATTTTATATATAAAAAAAAAAATAGTTTGGAGGGGAAATTTTATTAAAAATGATCAGTCAAGTTCATTGACAAATATTAGTCATTGATATATTTATAAATATTTTACTCTAATAATATAGTTATCAAATAAAATTCAACCAAAACACAAATATATACAAAGAGTGAACCAAAATTAAAATTTAAAAAGATAAAGTTTCATCATCATATCCTTTTAGGAACTTTTTTATTTATAAAAAGTAATAGTAAAAGTTTATAAAATTCTAAGAACTAAAAGAATAATTAAGTCAAAATTAAATTATGTTCCCTTTTAATTCCTATTGTCTATTTATAGAAATTAAAAGACAATTATAGAGATTAAAAGGAATGATATGTATAAAGATTAAAATAAAATATTTTTAATTATAAAGATTCAAATATATATAATTTTGTCTTTGTATCATTTGGATTTCTACAACTTGAGATAAGTTTAAAATATTAAATTGAATTGTATTAAAAGAATGTCAATTTTAACTTTAATTCTAATTTTCTCTAATATCCACGTTGAATTGTCTGAGTTTCTTCATGAAAAATGTATACTTTTTTTTAAGATTTTCATCGACACTAAGACGCCTTTATCACATTATGAGAACTTGAGTTATGAAAGTTTTGGTCTCTCTTGCTCCAAAAATTAATCACTATAGCAATTATACACTTGAAAATACTTACCATGTAACAGATTTGAAGAAAAAAAAAAGGAAGAAGGAAAATATGCAATGAAAAGAATAAAAATTAAATATCTAAGCAATTAATTAGAAAGTAAATTAAACAAAATACTTCCAAAATATCAGCTAAAATGTAATGCATTAGTTGATAAATTAGTTGGAAACTTAAACAAGATATTTGTATTAATGTATCTAAGTGTGTCATAGATGTTTATATTATATGGTGGTATAACTAGCACTTTGGACGCTTATTTACTTTCACAATAAGAATGTACAGGTTTCTTTTGGACGCATGATTAGTTGATCAAAATACATAAATTTTGTTATCATGATTTTTTTTTTTTACTATTGTCGAGTTATTATAGAAATTATTTATTAAAGTGAGAATATTTTAAAATAATTTTCCACTTTGAGATAGTTAATACAAGGACCAAGTGATACGTCTTTATCATAAAAACTTTTAATTTAACGACTAAATCTTTGAAATTTAATATAAAATATGAATTATTGAGTTGAGTAAGTGTATCAAGACTTACTCTTGGAATAAGTGAATCATTTTTTGAGTAAGTGGTTCTCTCTCTCTCTCTCTCTCTCTCTCTATATATATATATATATATATATATATATATGAGGAGGGTTATAATAATATTGGTGTAAATTTTACTAAGTATTATACCACTCAGTAAATTTATTTTAAATGTAAATTTTGTAAATTCAACCGTTAGATTGAAAGTTCATATCAACACCGTGCAAAGACTACCTCAAGTGAAAAATATAATTATATGTAGGGGTGTCACTTGGTTGACCAGCAACACCGTGTGATGACTACCTCAAAGTGAAAAATTATTTCAAAACAACTTTACTTTAGTAAATAATTTTCATAATAACCCCCACAATGGTTAAAATGTCCATCAAAACTTAGTATTTTAGAGGTCGGACATTTCACACATCCTTAATTCAAGATCAAAACCATATTTTCACCACCTACATCACAAACATCATTGCACCCGCAACCATTTTGACTATGTTAAGTCAGACGAAACAATTCCTAACAAGGTTTTGAATAAGATAAATATAATACATATTGTTATGTCTAACATTTGTGTTAGTGTTTCAAAAAAATATAAGTACAGACAAGTTGAAGAACGACGACACATGCTACTTCTTAGAACCAAGATAAAGGAAGGAAAGCTTCAAACATCAGACGAAAAGGTCAAATGAAGCCAAGTCTAGCACAAGAAGGAAAATGATCAAGCTTCAGACGATACAGCCCACAGACGAAAATTCTTCAAATACCAAACGAAGATGAGTCGAGGCAAAACATAACATGAGGATCAGACGAAGCAAAGTCAAGTGATAGATGAAATACGACATGAGCGCCAATCGATAATGGATCAAATACCAGACGTAAGTGTGTCAAGCACAACCTAAAGCGCAACATAAGGATTTAGACGAAGGCTGGTCAAGAATCAGACAAAAGTCAACTACATATCAGACGAAGGACAACATAGACTGAAAAGCATTCCAGACGGAAATGAAATCTATTTATAATATTGACCAGACCAAAGGAAGTCAAAGCATTGATGACAAATGCTCAGATGAAGATCAAGTCTTGAGATGCACATGAACTACCAAACGCAGACGAAGACTATCATGCAAGCATTTGAAGAATCAAGTCTCAAGAGACAATTCAGGCATCATCTACAATCATACAAAGAGCTCTCAATGTGATCGCATAGAAAAAGAAGAAGAAATACAAGCCCAAAAGTGAAAGCATGCATGTGTCAGAAAAAGTACATTACTTTTTCAGATAAAGACAACGCCTCTGTAGCTACGATGACCGAAAAAGGACAAAAAATTCCTAGGTCACAGTTAAAGTTAGACATTGCAGCTAACAAAACGTAGAAGACTTCACACAATTTCTATAAACAGGAAGCAACATTTAATGCAAGATCTAATGCATTGAATGAAAGATCGAACTAGTCATGAACGACTACATTCTGCTTTAACGGACACTTGCAACGGACAGATTTTATAGAGACTATATATATGTCATGACTTCAAACCTGGAAAGGTTGGCGAAGAGTGATTCCAAGACCAAGAAGTAACGAAACCAGAGACAGAGCATACATAGATAAATGTACATTATTGTATTTATCTCTGTAGACTAAGGATTTCTAAGTGTAACTTAGGAACATAAACCTTAGTGAGTGTAGTAAATCTTTGTATCCTCTCTGTGAGAGTAAACCACACACTCAAAACAAACTATCTATCATTTATAAAGCCTGAAGAGGCTAGGGAAAAAATAAATATTTGTATAAGCTTGGAGAGGCTTGTCAAAGAATACTCACTGAGAGCCTGAAGAGGCTGAACAAAAAATACTAACACTAATGAGTGAAGTTAGCGGGCCAGGAGTGGTCGATAATCCTCACTGAGAGCCTAAAGAGGCTGAACAAAGAATACTAGCGCTAATGAGTGAAGTTAGCGAACCAGGAGTGGTTGATAATACTCGGGGACCAGGAGTGGTCAGAATACTCATTGAGAGCCTGAAGAGGCTGAACAAAGAATACTAGCGCTAATGAGTGAAGTTAGCGAACCATGAGTTGTTAATAATACTCGGAGACCAGGAGTGGTCGAGAATACTCACTAAGAGCCTGAAGAGGCTGAACAAAGAATACTAACGCCAATGAGTAAAGTTGGAAAACCAGGAGTGGTTGATAATATTCGGTGACCAGGAGTGGTTGAGAATACTCACTGAGAGCCTGAAAAGGCTGAATAAAGAATACTAACGCTAACGAGTGAAGTTGGCGGGCCAGAAATGGTCGACAATACTTGGCAAACCAGAAGTGGTGATAATACTTGTACTTAATTGAAAATCTAGTGAAACTCTTCAATTGAATGAGACTGAACGTAACTCAGTCTGAGCGAACCATTATAAAAATCTTTGCACTATTTTACTTATCTCAGACGCAAATTTATTTATTTGATATTTCATACTAAAAATCTTACTCGTTGCTTATTTCACACTACAACAGCTTTCAGACGAAAAACATCTCTTGTTTAACTTATTACTGCAAGAAACACTTTCGTGCAGACGATAAAACTTGCAGACGCAAAAAAATTTTAAATGTTTTATTAAAAGTAAACGAGAGATGCATCTTAAATTTGAAAACGTCAGTATGAAATATTAAAAAGCCTTTTATGCGAAAAGATTTCCTTAAACCTTCACACACACATATTCAACCCGCCTTCTATGTGTTTTTCCTCTAACTTCAGACTACTACCACCACCATCATTTAACAACATCACAAGATCAACAACTATCCACATTATCTCTTTTCTAAAAAAAATGTTTGCAACTAATTACTAATTACTAAGTATTAAACATGACATGAAATATAAATATTAAGTACAAAATTCTAATTATTAGTAATTTAAACAAGTAATGATAACAATTTTACAATTTGTTATATATATTATTATAAATTTAAGAATTTAATAAGTATACAATATCCATATAAAAAAGTTATACTATTAATTAATAAAAATTTATTTTAAAATAATTATTATTGTGACACTCATTCTATCCCAACAAATATAATATGAAAATATAAGAAAATAGTTCTCCAACTCGGTAAAATAGTTCAAAATTAAAATACTTTCAATATTCAAATAATTTAAAACAAATATTTATAAAATATAAGTTCATAAATTTAACTAACAAAGAAGTATAAAATCTAATTACAATAAAATGAATAATCTAAAATCCCTTACCCGGATATCACACTATCAGAGCAATCACATGACTCAACTATTGAAACCTTGAATGTCACTCATGTTCGAATCTTCCTCATTTAAAAACAACCACAAAACATACACTGAGAAAAGAAGACATTCATATGAAAATCACAATAGGAAATTCCCAATCTCAATTTAATATAATATGCAAACACAATATCCATCATTCAAACATGCTTAACATCA